TTTTCGGTGAGAAACACCTACCCTGTGTCCTAGTTAGGGAGAGTTTGAGAGGCCTTATATCAACCTACCAGATTGCTCTGCTGCCGAAACGATCGACGAACATCGGACGATGACCATGGCATCTGAACACATCGGGACGGCGTCCCAGGGGGTGGATGGAGTCGGACGAGCGTCGCATCTCAAAAGGGTGTTCCATTTTGAGCGGCATTGGATGAATCATGTGAGGATTTCACTGAACCGTGGTGGGAAATCAAAAACACTGCACATCCAAAACACACACACAATTTGGACATTTGGACTGAGCTGTTGATTGCTTGCGTAAAGATAATATAGTAATTCAATGTCATGCACCATCAACACCTTCGATCGATATACAGTAACAGTCACCTGCAACAAGTCACAAGAGAAAGCTAGGTGGACAACAACAACACACACACATATATATATATTACATGCATATGGGCCCTTAGTAGCCTTGATATTGGTGATTAGTCGACCTTTTCGCTTCGTGCTGGTATCGGGTTTAGGTAGTCGTTGATCTATCCGTTGGGCCACCACTAAGTAGCTCCTTCTTAAGGGACCCACTAAGGATCTTAAAGGACCCAAACGGCGGGCCGCCGACAGCTCCAAGCCATTCGGCGGGCCGCCAGTCTCCACCCGACCCGTCTCCACCCGGAAAAAAACACATGCTACCAACGTGTCTGAGAAAGGCTACCTGCTACCGCTGCATACCCGTGGGCTTTAAACATGGGTGAGTTGGTGAAAGACATTCGGTGCCTGTGATACACGTCCCGTGGACCATTTTCCCGGTGATTCGTGCACGACGACTGGTTCATCCCCCCGAGCCAAAGGACCGTGGCCCAGTCTTCCGCCAGTCGTGTGTCCGTCCAAACCAGGTCCATTGGTTCAACCCAACTGTTGGAAGACGTCCTTTACCGGAGATGGTGAAGGGTTGGCCCCTGTAACAAAGCGTGTTGGCACTTCCATCCATCGGTGGTACATCAAGACGTTTCCATCAATGAATCAAGCCAAGGCAAGACATTGCAACAAATCAAGCCGCTCCAACAGCCAGCCAACCATGAGGCAATTCAATCTTAGATGAACCAAACATGAACCAAACGTCTCATGCTCCCAGCCAGCCAAAGCAATTCAGCCTAGCGTTGGCACCTCCTCTTGTTCCTCCAACTCCTCTTGAACCGCCATGGCCTTAAAAAGGAAGTTGTCCACATCGAGCAAAATTGGCCAAGATCTTTTACATTTCTTCAGACCAAAATGAGTCACCACAGGCACACCAAAAGAATACTAGTATATATAGTACTGAGCTGATGAAACCCTGGTTGGGTAAGTTTGGACTCTGGAAGCTGTCTACAGAACGATGTGGAATCGTCGCCACGAGTACCAATGCAACTTTCACTTGAACCTCTGATCTGATCGAAGGTGGCAAAAGGTAGAGGGAGACAACAAAATAGCACCCGTCATCATCTGATATAATCTGTCTATTATAAGAATGCATGATGGTGTTCATGTTCCATGTTTATGGACAAAAACACATGCACGCTTCTGCAACTTTAGGCAAAACAAGGCGTCAGTCCTTCTTTGAACGTAAAATCGTGCAAAATCCACAGCTCTACTTGTTAACTCTGACAAAACATGTTGTTCTTCACCCCGGTGTTACATGTGAAACCCTATCTGTGAGGTGTGAATTGCCCAATTCCACCCTCGGATCAGTGAGTGATGGGCTCTTTGGATGTAGGACATGCCATGCCAGCTGTTCATCGCGGAACCGAAGATCCCAGATACCGAAGACCCTGCTGGCTGACAAAGGCACCACCGCCAGGTCGTCTGCCCAGGTACGGATGAGCTCCTGGAGAAGGTGAAAAACTGTCGACATGCTGCTGTGGTAAGGGTATTGGTATGGGTCAATCATCTTCGGATTTGGAAAAGCAAAAGAACTCAACCAACTGCAGTTCTCTTATATATCTCATCTCATGATTCACTGGATCTAGAATCTAGCAGAGCCCCAACGCAATCATAAGGTGCGGAAGTCCTCTTGCTTGCTGCACGAATCCATGTCTTTGGAGAGATTTATATATACCCTGGGAGTCAAAGACTATACAAAGAATGGTCTTTAGGGGACCTGAAAGGGAACATCCTTTAATTCAGACGGGCAATATATAGTCTTTGGACTTCTAGGGTGTATATATATATATATATGGGATATTCCAACCAGCGGAGATCGCTGTCTTCGCTTGCTCCCCCAGAGACGTTACGTGACGTTACGTGACGGTGTTGTTTTCTCGTGACGGCTAGTGGTCGGAAGGAAAGAGTGAAATTGGGCGGTTGAAATAGGAAGAACCCATAAAGACGCCAAGGAAGAGGATTGTGTGAGCTTACACATGCTTAAACCTAATGTGGTTGCTTGCAAAGTCTATCGATTAATATCTATTAGATATATTCTAATCCACAACCAGTTCAGGGAGACTCAAAGTCCTACACACACAGATCCAAACGTGGGAATCATGGGAACAAACCATGAGAACCCTGTCGATGCGGTTCTACGATTCGATGTCCACTGGATCCTGTGGATTAGTATGTCCTGTCCTCTGATTGGATTCTACTCATCAACAGATTGAGACCCAAAGCCTCCCAGGTCTCTTGTTCTACACCGTGAAAACCGTTCGTTCGACGTGAAACCGGTCACCGAGGACTCCGACCTTCCACCGGTCACCGGCTTCCGCGTTCCCCGAGCGCCGAGGCCGCGAGGTCTCCGACCGATCCGGTGCGACAGGGACCTCCCCGCGAGCGGTCTCGAAGGCACCGCGAGCGAGCGTTAAGCACGGAGCGAACACCGGGTTTCGCAGATCGAGGTCGACCAGGTCGGCCGAAATGAAGTGGGAGATTCTATGTCCGACCGCGGTGCCCATGTGGTTTGTTTCAAGCGATTCAATCTGTGACGGCTGAAAGAGACGACCCCCATCCGCAAGCTATCGTTCGTCCAGCCTCGCGCGTTGGGAATACCAGACTCCGATGGAACAAAGCAACCTCTGAACAAATTACAACACATGACCAAAACGAAGGGAACCAATCGTCCAACAGTCAGTTTCAACAACACAACTGGCCCGGAAACGGAACCGTGTCCACCGTCTGTCCAGCGTGTGACACCGTCTGACCGTCAACTCGCCCGGTGAAACGCCACGACCGACCTGAACGGGACGAAGTGAGCTCCTCAGCTGTCTGGATCAGCGGCAACAAACATTCCTCGCCCTTCCTCAGCCGAACCGCGCCTTTCAGTCGACCCTAAGGACTGGGGCAGGTGGGTTTTTAGTGAGGTGGAGAGGTTATGGTCGTATGAATATATGTACAATGATTGTACATGTATAATTATCCTGCGATTCAAAGACTATCAAACAAATTGTCTTTAGGTGACCCGAACAGGAATGTCCTGTACTTCAGTCGGTCAAAATATAGTCTTTGGATTTTTAGGTATTTTGTAATATTATGTATATACATGTATATAATTACATAAACATAATACCTATATAACAAAAACTCCAGTAAACAACTAATTAGTAGATAATGTTACTCTGTTTGAAGAACATAGCTTGGAATACATCCTAGGCCCTAGACATACGGTATAACTTATAAACGTGTAGGAACCCGCACGGGTTCAAAACAACAACTACTGACTAGAGTTATTTGACCGGGATATATTATACTTTTGACCGGGATATGTCTATATATATATATATATATAGAGTACTATACATTATTATTCATGAGATGTGATTTTCAGGCCGGTCACAGTTCTCCCAGGTACTCAGTGGCACTCAGCAATGGCACTCAGTGGCCCCTGATCCCAGCAGAAGACCATGCCCCCCTGTTCCATCGCCGAAGACCATGAAAGCAGAAGAGGAAGACGGTCTGGGTCGATCCAATTCATGTTGTTCATCACAGAAAAGGAAGAAAACAAACGAGAAACAACTTCACAAATGCCTCCAACAGATCTGATCCAAAAACAAATCTGGGAGATTCTGTCTGTCGAAGCGTCTTCAACTCACACCTACGGAGATCTGCCCCTCCTCCTTAAAACATAAAAAACACATGATCACACGAGGTTTGGACCCAGAAAGGAACAACCTGGGATCACCGGTTGTTGGTCACCGGGACGACCAGTGACGACCCATGCTGCCCTTCCATCCACGACCAGCTGGACCAGCCCAGCCCAGGAGGAGGACCTTCTACGTCACCGTTGCGGTCGACCAACGTTGCCAGGTCACTGGCCCCAGTGGAGGGCCGCTTCTTGCAATCGTTGGCCTGAAGGTGGGAAGGTCTGGAAGGTCTGCAGTTCTGCAGGGTGCAACCCAGACCGGACCTGGCCATATATGACTCCCAAAAAACAGCCAGGAAGGGTGGTTGGCTGGCAAATCTGGGGTCTGAATCTGGGGCGGCCAGGAATTCCAGTCGCATGGAGTGCCTGGACATCCCACGGAGCCATGGTTGGTCTTTTTCACTGTGGAGCCATCCCACGGATAGAGACCAGGATTTTGGTGGCGATCCGATCTGGTTTTCTCGATTTGGGTCCGGAGCTTGGATGGAACATGATCTATTATACTCTGTACCGCACAGGGGTTGGAATGCTATGTACAGCGAGGTAAAGAGAAGCCAAGGCATCCCCTAGTTCGCAAAACCCAAATATATACCTCCCTCCATACGTATATGTATGACGTTTCGATTTATTTCCAGACCTGCTGCACCTGCCAGGGCCGTGATGGATGAGGAGTGGGTGACAAATCCAGATTGGTTTTGATATTGTAGCGAGTCTCCCAAGTGGTGTAGAGCGGGGGGTGACCCCTTTTACATCCTTTAAGGCTGAAAACACATACATCGGAACCGACGATGCATCGACGACCTGCCGTCCGGACGAGGTTTTCTGGTTCGGTCGACCCAGTGGCCGAGATTATCATCGTCAGCGACTTGCAGGAAGCGCGAGGAGGTCGAGGCCTCCGAAAAAGGTCAGGACGACCGGTGAGAAGGACGGACGGCCTCAACTTTTTGGCGGTGTTGTAGAGCATGGTTCCTGCCCTCGCGGTTGTAGCCTCCCTGAAAGAATCATGGTTGCATGGAATACAGCCTGGTTATATCGTCTTCCACAGGGCCATGTTCCACTTCCATGCTTGTTGGATGGTATATTCATGAACCTCAAAGCCCTCAGGAAAACCGGGGCTTCATCCAGCGACCGTGCGGGCAAGCTGGCCCCGAAGGCCGAGCGGTTGGGCTTCGTCTTCCCCGCAGAGCTTCGTGCGGCGCTCCTCACGGAGCCGCAAGTTCATGGCCGTTCCATATCTGGGAAGGTTTGATCTGGGATGTCCCAATTCAGTGCAAGTAACGAAACCTCCAGCCCCATGAGGCGTGGAGTCCCAACCAAGCAGTACAATGCTGGCAGCTGTTCCCTTGCACGCTAATATGGTGCAAGATCTCATGACCATATTGAACAAACACATTCACTAGCTTACAAGTCGGGGGACATCATGTTCTCTCATCGTACTATAGCTCTATAGAGGATGAAAATGAACACCTGTTCTTTAATTTACACATTAGTTGTTGTGCGGCTCATGGTCCTAGTAGATGTTCCATGGTGGTCCTAGTTGCCAGACTGGCAAGCAAACTTTTGCAGTTTCTACACAAGTATGGTGTCTTAACTGTTTTCCAATGCCTATAGAGGTCAATGCAAAATCATACAACAACACACTAAAAACAAGGATGATATAAATCGTATAAATGACCACAGGTGGTTTTATTTATTGCATAGAACCAGTGGTTTTAGTCCGACCGGACTTAATAGTGGTTTACTGGTGGACCTTTGAAAAACGCAAACGTTTTTGCCCCGACACTCCGCCAGCCTCCACTTCGGGCTCCAACCACCTGGGTGGTAATGAACAGAATTCAGCGACCGACCGGGGCTCCAACCATCACGTGCCGGATGCGACACCATGTGCTTCGACGATTTCTATGTTCGGATTGTTTGCTTTTTTACCTCCTATTGTATATATCTGGCGTTTCTGGATAAAATGATGTGTTCTTTTCCCTCGGTGCCAACCGAGGAAACACACGTGAGCCGAAACGCACGACCGCCGCCGAGCCGACTGTAACCTCGTAGTTACGTCAAAGACCGAGAATGATCCTTTGCCAGGTGGCACCATCGGTGCGGCTGTGGTCGGATATCCATGCGGCAGCACCGCCGCCAGGCGCACCGAGCCCGCAGCCACCGCGTCGTCCGTGAAGACGCGCACAGAGAGGGACAGCGCCGGAAGCCGAGACAGCGACGCCTGCGGCAGAAGACTCACTGCTGGTCCGTGTGGAAGAATGGGAGCATTCCGGCATAAGGAGGTCTTGCACCAGTGACAAAGGCGACTAAGTCCGATAGCCTATAATTAAGAAACACCATATATTATGCTCCATGATGATAAAAGCATTCGACCACCCCATGCTGAGACCACTCTGTAAACTGCCACACCACGAGTCGCAGTGAGAGGCCTGCCGCGAGGTCCGCAGGAGTCGCAGAGGTGGGTTTGTTGATGGCAAGGAATTGGACGTATAGGTATAGTCTGTGTTCACTCGGACACCAACATGCAGAATCCTGCCAAGTTGCGGCACCTTCTCAAAGGGTGACATCGAACAGATCCCTTGCTACCACCAAAAGGTGCTTGACATGGAGCGCTCCCGCAGATCACCCCAGATCTGTCCCGATCCGCACATCATCCCGCATCCGCCTCCACGTCTTTCGCTGCGGCACCCAGCGCTTCGAGCGCCTCCTCGTCCACACGCAAGTCACCCTCCTGACTGAGCCGATTTCCATCGGTGGCGCGGCAGACAGGAATGATTCGGAATGACAGGTGTTTTCTGGGTGTCCAATGATGTCGAGTCTCAAACTCCTACCAAAAAAGAACCCAACACTCTGAAAGAAGTTGTCTTATAGGGACATTAGAACAATACAGCATATATCCCTATTAAATCAAGAGCTCCAATTTTATAGTATATGATTGAACTCATCAGAAGCTTTTTAAACCGTTCCAAACTCATCAGAGTCCGAGGCCTCGCAATAGATGGCGCTGAGACTTTCCATCTCCAATAACTGCCGCGAAAGCCACGTGTCGTCCATGGCTGCGAGGGGCTGAGTACGCGGGTTGATTCGTAGTCCGTAGTGGTTTTTGTTTGTTGCGTACCTCTTCAAGTTTTCTTCTGCGTGGGGTGGATATAGTTGCCCCAAGAGGCAGTTATAATAAGGTATAGGATTGGGCAAGTAGTACATTGGGCAAGGATTTCTCTTATCTGTTTCATACATGCTTCCGTTTCTGAGCCAACCACTTTTGACTAGTCGTTCGGCGTTCTATACCGACCTGTGCCCTATTTCATGGGTGTGGTGTGCATCTTATCCAACCTGAGGATATCATCGAACATGGCCATACTTGACCACTGCAAGATATATCGCAAGATCATGCAAGAATATGCAAGAGTTCTCTATGATACTTGCTGCATTTGATTGTACAACTATGGGGACTGTGTCAAGGAGTGAGTGAAGGCTGCGATGATACTACGGTACCAGTTGGCGACAAACATATAAGGAACGAGAAATGCAACTAAATCTCCTAATGCCTGATACTCACGAGATTTGTGGATTCTCAAACCTGGCTATTTCCCAAACTGAACTATTCCATCGACTTCGGAAACAAGTCTGCAATTTTAGCGAGTTCCTGCAGGGTGTTCTGTACACAAACGTCCAAACGTCCCTTTTACACAAACACCCTGCAAATCCCCGCAAAGTGTGATAGTCGAAGTGTTCACTCCAAGAAAAAAGACTGCAAAATCCGGCTGGGCTTGTGCGGACTCATTGTCCATTTAGTCCAAAAAGAGCAGGTGAAAAAAAATTCCCAAGAATCAAAGACTTGTACCGGACCCTGTTAAATGTATGAGGGAGCCGTGTAAGGAAATGGAAAGAATTGGAAAGACAATCACCCTTGGATCTAAACCGGAGGCCAGTCATCTTTGGTCAGGTCAACTTGACATGTAAACAGACACAAAGGCCTCCGACAACACTTCTCGGCGCCGTCCGCGGGATCGCCTTTGCTAAAGCATCGGTCGCAGCGATCGCCGCGGTACCGCTCCTCGAGAAGAGCTTGGGGAGCGAAGATAGCGCCAGGGGCGTTTGGGCGTTTGGAGTCATCATCCGGTTGAAGTGATGAAAAGGTCTTTCTTTTGACTGACTCATGTTCATGAATTTGGTCAGAAAGAAACTCCGGTTTGCTGAACTTGACAACTGGGGAGATACATTGCGGGTAAAGCACCTTGTCTTCCGAGGTGTCCGGTGCGTTCTCAACTGCCCTTGAAAAGCCGAAGGACAGACTTATTCACACCCCTGGTCGTACCCATAACCGCATCAGGTCTCCAACATGAGATCAGGAAAACTCCAAATCTTCCTAAGGGTCCAGAAGAGGAGACGATTGGATTAGTGTTTGGTCTGTTGTTTGTCCACCCTTTCTAGGGTGAGTTGCATCCACAGGGTGCTTCCAAGTGCCATCCCGGGTTCCTGGTCATTGAAGGCACCACGGACGGGCAGTTGTTTGGAACCCTTCCACGTAGTTTTTCTTGTTTTCAATTAGCTGAGAATTTATGTATCTGTGCATATTCCTTGCAACAGAGGTTTAACTGACAATTGTCGCCCTTCCTGTCTACCCTACAGGGCAATTAAGCTCAGTGACTGCTTTAGATCCTGATGGAATGGTAGGTTCTGCACACTTCAACAAATGGCTCTATAGGCACCACTTGGGGGTGTCAAGAAAGATGGGTTTACGAGAAGATGTGGCTGATTTGTTCGACAACATAGCAAGAGTGGTTTCTTTCTTCTAGCACACTGTAAACACATCGCTCATGTGTCATCCAATAACCAATATAATATATGAGGCATTTGTGCTTCGGTCTTGGCTTGACTGGATCGTTTGCTCAGCTCTGCACATGGAGGATGGCTGCCAATGGCGGTGCACGCCATACCACCTGGTGAGCACCAAGTCATTGCGTGTCGTGCCACACGTTGATAGCTTCGACATGTTTCGACCCTCAAAAGGAAACGATCTTGGACATCCGGTATGTATATACATCAACTCCTTGTGATCGTGAGCCACCAACTTCTTGAGAACTCTATCTCCCTCTATGTCAGCACACAAACCATTTGTATAGAACTTTCAAGTGTCTCTGTTGAGATGTTCATCTGAGACACTCATTGAATGCTCCAATTGATCTGGGAACTCTAGTCAAGGACTCTTATAATGGATCCAAGTCAACCAAGGTGATTGGGTAGTGCCTCTTGTACTGCCTCCCGTCTTGGAGTTTCGGTGAGACGATGTGAGCTTCGACATGGCCACAGAATTCATTCACCACTCGACTATCCCGTCCAGACTATCAGGAGAAAGTTGATCCTATCATGGTTCCAACATCAAAAAGCCTTTCCAGCCGATCCCTAATAAGGTTGGCACTAAGGTTGCCCAAGCATTCCAACGACTTAGGTTTCTTCATCCAATTTTCTGCCGATGAAACGCCTCAACTGCATGGAAATGCCCCAAAACAATTAATGTGAATCTTCTGCCAAAAGTTGCTTTCATATTTTCCCCTATCTAATCTATCTGATTGAAGACCCCAAAAACATGTCCACCATCCCACCATCCACGGCTCGCGATCACCGCGCCTCCCCAGGCTTCAAATCCTGGTGGCTGGGCTCGGGCCCATGGACCGCAACAACATGGACCATGAAGGCACTATCTCTACGTGCTGAACAAATGATCTTAGTTCAATAACAGACCCTTTGGAGTTCAGTCTTTGAGGTGAAGGGGCCAAAACATGTGGTTTTACAACACAGAGTCTTGTGAGGCTTTGAACAAGCCGGAGCAGCACCGCTTGACACCCACAAGCCTCCAACGAAGGATTTCTGTTGCATTACTCTACATGTGCCGTGTGGGCAATGGCCAGTGTCAAGCGGGCAGTTTCAACCATCAGAGGTCTCCACATCGGTCAGACATGCTGAGACCGCCAAGGTCCCCTTCATCGGTCAACATGTCGACGAAGTGGTGGGATTCTTCAGTCGCCCAGCGATTCGCTTTCATCAGTCGCCCAGCGATCTGGCTCCAAAAGCAAGGGGCCATTGCGAATCGAACGGTTTGGTCACATCGCCGAATCGCAATAAACTTAAGCAAATCAACTTCGGAAAGGGACGCAGGACGTTCTGGGCTCTAGAAAGAGAATGGTGCAAATGCAAATAGGGAACCCAGTGATGGATTTACAGTTTCGGACTGGAATACAACTGTATGGGAACCCAAGTCGGGAATCGCACAGTGTGCAAATGCAAATAGGGACCAGTTTTACAGTTTTACCTGTGCGATTCCATAACCACTATACACCCAAAACAAGCTATACCTCTCGACTCTCGACAACCCAGTTGGATACGTATGGGCGGTGGCACCATCGGCACCATCATGGCACCTGTCATGTCTTCATGTCCATGTCTTCCTGAGAGCATTTGAAGGCTATGGACATCTGTGAATTAGCTCATCTACTTTCGACCGTTGGCAAAACCACCCACAGATGGAGATATGGAAATTCTGAGATGTTTCGAATGTTCCATTCCAAGTTCGGTGTGTGGGTTGATTCATGAACCGTCAACATTGCCCCTACAGGTCAAAGACTGAGAGGTCAGGAAATAGATGGAGGAAAATACGAAAACACTCAGAAACCCGGTCGCTGGCAGGTTTCTTACTGGGTCGGTGGGACGAAAAAACGGTGCTACTGTTCATCCTTCAGCTCCATCTCGCCCGATCTCGGTCCCGTGTAGCGACGGCACAGCGCCCAGGCCCCACGGCGCCAGAGGTGGCACCAGCGGGGACGGCATCGGCGACAAGCATGGCCCAAGCAGTTGGCTGGATTTGATGGTTGAAATCATGAAGTTTGCAATATATATGATGACCGTGCATCTTAAATGTGAAGAATAAACAAATAAATAAGACCTTATGATCAGCAGGTGAATCGTAGCTCAGTATAGACATGTATATAGACTATTTGGTGATGTTCTATTCTTTTCTGGGATACGCCCACGGAAGTTGACATAAATGTCCCAGCGTTTTCATCGACCATAACAGCCAGTTGGCTTTGATTGGAGGGTGAGTTTGATGATTTGATGAGCTTGCTGGCGACCTTCGCACCCACCTGCAATGAAGGGTGTCTATGACACCAGAATCTTCCACTTTCCAACGTCGAGCTATGCCAATGAGCACCAGTGAGCCGTGCCAAATCGATCCCACCCTTCGAGACACAGGACTCCCTCGAGCGAGAGACATCATGGACACCCTGATTCCGGCCCATCAGGGTATTAATCATGTATAGACTGTATAGACTCTTGATTAAATTGCACCCCCATATGAAGAGGAGTATGAAGAGGTATTGAAGAGTCATTATTAGTTTATAAACCTTACAAAAGAAATGGTCAAATGCAACATCAAAGGGTGTGGCTGCTGAGCTTCGGCCACTTCTATAGGCTGCTTGATGTCTGGACAACTCTGATGTGCTTGATGTCTGGCAAGGCACCTTGCTCCGAGGGACTTGTGGCAAAAGGTTAAGACATCCCATGGGAATCAATCCTTCACGCACCATGGCGTAGTGGACTCCAAGCTTGGGAATACTTGGAGTGCTCCATGAACCTCTACATGTGAGTGTGAACTTGTGCGGCAAAAACATGGTTTCTGGGGTGTCTCACCAAATTCCCAGTAGAGCCCCAGGCTGATAGGGGACATTAATGAATCAATGTATTAGGCCTTTGGGCCTAAAACCCTAACACACACACAAACCTGGGAGTTGACTCCGCACACACCACACACCTGGGAGTTGACTCCGCATACTCCTCGCAAATAACTTTTTGCCCAGGAGGCTGCTGCTGAGTTCATCGCGCTCCTGTGGCAATTTTGGAAAGAACAAGGATGAATTGTGTTTATACCACCGCGCTAAGCAGGGCCGTACCTCCATTCTTTAAAGCATCTGCCGAAGATCTTACGTATTCAGATACATATCTCTACATCTCTACCCTGCAAGTCTTAGTGGAACCACGTGTGCATATCCCAACTAGACCCTCACCAAAGGGCGTCTTTTGCAGCCAGCTTTCACAAGAACCCAATCTTTCGCCTGCATCGTCTCTGTGTTGTGGATCTGAACTCCGACCCTCGCGATACATACTGGTCAAAGGATCGGTGCATCGATTTGTCTCAAGGGTGGAAGAGTACAATGGCGAACTTGATATTCACTGCATAGTGATCTTTAGACTTCAACCATTGGGCCATGTCTTGCGGCGTTTGGTTATATGGTGGTCCCAGCTGGTGGAAATCAGGCCTTGCACCAGCGCAAACGATGGTTATGGGAAGCGTCAATCCAATCAACCTATAATACACCCTCCCTATCCCTCCCTGAACACATCATGGTTAATTGCGTGGATGGCATGGCCCCTGGAAAACAAAAATAAACATGACATTCTCGAACAAAAGCCGGTGGTAGAACTGGATAGATCGACCTTGTGAACTGAAAACACCCCAAACCGGTTCATATTGGTGGTCTTGCTGTTGTGTAGAAGTGCTGCGTAACAAGGTGCCACAGCACATAAAACATCATATTAAATATCCAATGCTCCAAACATATTAGCTTTGGACCCTGTGTATCTGCTCGATTTCCTTTGACTTGACCACCTCGTCTGGGTGAAATCCGTGGGCCGTTGTGCCTTCCCTCCGTGGTGCCGCGCAACGCCCTCCCCAGCGCCGCGGCGCCTCCGGGCTCATGTGCTCCGAGCGCCGCAGCGGCAACCAGTGGACTTCCCTGCGGTCGGGCGTCCGCGAGGCGCGACGCGAGGGGCAAACGCACACATCATCCCCTTTGTATTCCTCTCAACTTTGCTATTCATATCTTGATGTACCCACCTTCCTCCAAACACGGGAGCTTGTCATTAATTATATAGACATCTTAGACATGGCACCAAGCAAAGCTACTTCAGAGTCCTGCGATCCTTTCTGATTTCTGAAGGAGCGATGCCAGGTTTCAGATGAACACGTGTGCCGAAAGAAAGAACAACTGTGTGTGTTGTGGTCTGAAAGCAGTCTACAAAGCATGTGTCTTTTTCTTTCACCCCTAGAAACTGAAGTGCTTCAAGACCAATCCGAATTGGCACGTTGCCGGCATCACATGGGAGTGATCAATTCTCCTCATGGGCACCTTCAAACGGCATACTCCGGAACCAATATATTTTTTACGGGCTTCCTACGGGTTACGACGGTTTTTTTAACGGGTTCCCCACGGGTTAGGAAAAACATTTTTTTGAAGACACGGTTTCTCTAGTCTGACCCACGGGTATAGACGGGTTCCCCACGCTTATAGACGGGTTCCCCACGGGAACCTTAAAATTTGGATGGTTTGAGGGGCTTTTGTCATTAAAGTCCGTTCGACAACCACCAGAAAACACAAGATGTTTGGAGACCTGTTTTTTTTTGAGAGTGTTACTTTCAAGGCATCGATACACGCTGAAGGGCACAATCTGGGCTTTGTGTTCGCATGGGCACCAACCAACTGACTCAACACGGATTTGCTACCCTACCCCCCTCATTCTTTACAAGTGGTTCATACGCGGGCACTGCTCAAAAGGACATGTTCAACAACAAGACTCAAGTTTAGGAGGGTTTGGGGTGACACCGGCCCATGCTGGTGGTATATCATAGTCCATGAGCCAAACAAGTCTGAGATCAAAAAAACGACCAAAAAACACATAAGCCATGGCAAGCCATTCTTCTTCACGAATAAGCTTCGGCAAAGCACATGGAGGTTTCAATGGGAAATATGGAGACATGAGTGACATCAACAGGAATCTAACACAAACCCAAGCAAATCCATGTTTGTTTCTGTGTTTGACCGTGCAAACCAGTCAATTCATCCAATGGATTCCAATGGTTTGAATTGCCTCCCGTGTCTGCCTCCCCGTCCCATGTCAGGCGCGGACTCCAAAGATAAAACGATCTGCTGCACTTGTGTGGCCTGAAATTTAGAGACCCAAGACATGGCAGCGAAAACATCAACAAGGACACGAGGAAGGATGAGTTGTCTTTGCAGGAGGCTGGCGTGGGGAAAGCGCACAAGAGAGTTTGGGCCATGGTCGATGATGTTCTTCAGTCAAGTGGCTTCTGTTTATATAAAAGGGAATATCATGTTTTAGTAATTTCTTCAATCGCTGCGAGGTTCCTGTGAATTCTGAACCATGGATGCTTAGTTCAGTGGTCCTATCATACTCCTGGCTGAATGAGGTCGGGAAATCTTGCCAGTCAAGTGAGATGTCCTTCGACCTCTACTTAGGGTGTTCCCCCACTTTGTGTGAAGTGGTTCCTGCAATGGGGACTGTTCCTGATCATGAACGCCGGCAGTTTCAGGGGGGGGTGGATCGCTGTGGAAGAAGAAAAGTGGGGATATCACCTAATTAGGTATTTGCGAGTTGCACTCCAAAATTCACACACCCAACTTGTTGGGGATGTAGCCATCTCTCAACCGAGGAAGCTGAACACATATTGCTGCAAATGCACGGATGATGGGACAACCGCCCAAGTTAGCTGCTTCCCACCTCTAAAGTTTCATAGATTGTGTGCTTTGCTGCGCCAGTATGTGCAAGCGCTTGCATCAGAGTATATTGAAAATCCAAGTTCAAAAAGCTATTCGAGGAGCCGACAGGGTTCAATAACTATTACACATCCTTTTTCAACCCAGAGCCACTGCATATGTTCCACCAAGAGGTATGATCTTCATACTTCACCTCCTCACCCGTTTTCATGCCGTGCTGTTGACCCCAAAAGCACCGACCACAGTGCAGTCCAGTATGCTTGAATAGAAAACGGCCACAAAAGGTTGAACCATTGTTCGGAAATGGTTTTGTTAGCTGAAACATGTTGCAGTAGTCCACAAACCGTTCAACTTTTTGCCTCTTCCGTCTGAAACTTCGGTTGAGAGTCCGCGGATTTCTCTGTCTCTTTGAAGCAAAAACAAGTCGACATCACGCCACACTTCGCCTGGAAGTGGAGGACCTGTCTCTGTTGCGTCTGCCAGTCGGAACTCATGCCCACCTGTTTGTCGCAGCAGTCCCCGAATACATTGGGAAATGTTGGCCGCATGGAGACCAAGTTCACGAGCTGCGCTTGCCATGGAGTGATGCCACCTCCAGCTATCGCAAGTTCCGTGAGGCCGACTGAAAACAGGCTTTGCAGTAGTTCCAAGCCGAATGGCGGAGGTGGCGATGAAGTGAGCTCGGTTTTCAGCAGAGGAGACCCACTCCAGATTCTCCACTCCATTGTTGCCTTTGTCCAGATCCTTGTGGTTCACATAAGATTGATGACTGGAAGGCGGTGGCCCAAGAAAGGCAACAGCGACCAAGCGATGAACACGCGCATCTCGGCAGTCTGCATTAATGCATAGTTTTGTTGTGTAGTATCCCTGTTGACGCAGGTGCCCCCCTGCTGATCAACCCCCGCCGTGACGTTATGCGGCCAAACGAGCTCACCATCCTTCCTGGCACGAAAACACCTGACGTCGGATCAACCATCTGTTGCCATTCTTCTCCTGGCAAGGTAAGCTCACGCAGCTCTTGGTACTTAAATTCATAGCCTTTGGCCGCGCAAAGCTTGCGGCAACATCTTGACACAGTGGCTCTGTGTATCCCTAGCTGCTGAGCTGCCGCTGTGGCAGATGGGTTTCTGGTCCAGAACGTGGACCCAGCAGGTCTCCACAGCACAGGCTTCGACTGTGCAGGCCCAGATTTTGACCTTGAAGGGTTAGAGTACGAGTGCTGCATGTTTTGGCTACGAGATACGTATTCCAGGTTGTCCAAGCGGTTGTTGGCTTTGTTGCCATCGAGGTGATGCACTTCCCAGGCTTCATCAGACTTTGGAAGTCCATGAAAGGTAATCTTTACAACGCGGTGAACTGGCCACTTTTGCCCAAGAATCATAACCCTCCTGTAGCCATTGCCATCAAGAGACCCGTTTGAAATGATGCCTTTGGTGTTCCAGATTCGACCATGCGAGCTCACCTGCCAAAACCCTTTTGGACGTGGAAGCAGCTGGGTGGTGAAGAATCTCAAGTATGTCCTCCAATGGGACACTGCAAAAAAATGGTCGCCATGTTGTCAGCATGGGCGGAAACACTATTAACATGCGTGGAGTCTTGCACATCAGTCGAATAGTGCTCTTGACAGTCTTTTATGAACAACAAACATATAAGTTATATATATATAGTGAGAGATAAGTGCTTCTTTTGGCATGCTGCATGCTCCACTTGTGAACCGAACCTGAAAACAGGCATCAAAAGCTGTCCGACTGTCCGATTTGCTCGCAGAACAATCTTCAGATCGCCCAAATGCAAGCAATTCCACTCAGCAGTCAATGCTATGTCTATGTTTTAATTACAATGTTTTGTTTCACACACCCAGAAAAAGGAAACCAGGTTCTGAGATGCAAACTTGGTGTCCTTTCCAGCTCAAGAAACACAAAGATGAGGCTGACATGCTAGATGCTTCACCATTTGCGGGGATGCCCTGTTCAGTTCGTGATCGGGAAGTTTCTAAGCTGGAATGATCAAGCCACCAAAAGACATCAACACAGTGTCGCCTGACCTCATAGAACACAGTGACCTGTTGAGTCACCACAAAAATCCCCGAGGAAGAGGGCGTCTAACAAATGGAAGAAACCAAGTGAGTCAACCAAGAACGCATCGAGGTTCATTGTCAATTTTCCTGATTCATTTCCTGAGCCGGAAGACACAACTGGAAAATATAGTTGTCATTGTCACAACTGCACCGCCTTGTAAACAGCAATCCCCCGGCCGATGCAAGCTTTGGACCTGATACCGTTACAAAAACAAACAACTTCGGAACCATTTTTGCGGAAAGACATCGCTTGCAAAGTAGTCAGAGGTCTATGTGATGTGAGTCATGTCGTGCATCTGCGTACTATTTTTTGAACAGTGCTTAACTTCACACAAAGGTGGCCGTACAAATCACTGGCTTCGCACAAAGCCCCGATGCCTGCATTATCTCTCAAGTCACAACCTCTCAAATGCCACAGCTTCTTTGCTGGGAAAAGTCTTCAGGAAGGCTACAAGCCTCCAAAACTTAAAAGCAGCCAACTATCGATTGAAGCAAAGGCTACGGAATTCTCTATCTTTCTGGAGCAAAAGCAAATCAACTGTGCGCCATTCTTCGCCCAGGAGCGAAGACTCGAAGGCATCCGCCAGTTGGAACTCATATCCACCGGTTTGCCGCTGCAGTCCTCGGGTGCACCTTGAAATGCAATTGCAACGGAGACCAAGTTCTAAGGCTGCGCTTGTCATGGAGCGATGCTGACTCCACAAATCCTCCGTTCCATGACGCCGGCTCCAAACAGACTTGGGAGTAGTTGTGTGGTCACGTGTGGATGTTGCATAAGAATGAGCTTGGTTTTCGGACGCAGACACCCATTCCAGATTATCAACAGCATTATTGCCTTTGTCTCTATCTTTGTGGTTGACAAATGTTTGATGATCGCAAGGCGGTGGACCAAGAAAGGCAAAAGCTACCAACCGATGCGTATACACATTCTTGCAATGTGAATCAACTGTTATACAGGTTCTGTAGTATCCGTCTTGAGTCAAATGCCCTCTGCCTATTAACCCAGTCCGTGAGGTTGTGGTGCGGCCAAACGAGCTCACCATCCTCCCTGGCACGAAAACACCTGACGTCGGATCAACCATCTGTTGCCATTCTTCTCCTGGCAAAGTAAGCTCATGCAGCTCTTGGTACTTAAATTCATAGCCTTTGGCCGCACAAAGCTTGCGGCAACTTTCGGCCACAGTCTTTTTGCACATGCCCAGCTGCTGAGCTGCCGCTGTGGCAGATGGGCTTCTAGTCCAGTTTGTGGACCCAACTGTTCTCCACAGCACAGATTTTGATAGTACAGGTCTCCTCCTCGTTGCGCTACAGAAGGAGTGCCACACGTTTTCTCTTGGTGTTACGTACTCCAGATTGTCCAAGCAGTTGTTGGCTTTGTTGCCATCCAGGTGATGCACTTGCCAGGCTTCATCAGACTTTGGAAGTCCATGAAAGGTAATCTTTACAACACGGTGAACTGGCCAGTTTTGCCCTGAAATCATGACTCTCCGGTAGCCAGTGCCATTGAGGCACCCCTGCGAAATTCTTCCTCCAGAGTCGCGAACACGGCCGTGCGAGCTTACTTCCCAACACGCTTTGCTGAAGAACCGCAGGGCCGGTGGCCAGCGGGGGCACAATCTTATGGATGTCGAAGAGAGCACATCCAGCATCCAGGATCTCATCATGCACTGAACCGGGGTTTGGGGTTTCTAGGTCTGAACAAATATAATCCACACTGCTGCTCTCCTGGCTAAAAAACTATCAAGAAGCGACATCCACTACTTACATACTCTGGGTGATCCGTCATCTGTGCTTGTTGGCCTTTTGGACATAAACGCTGCACTGCGCATCATCAAAGCTATCAAATAAACTCGAGTCTATGACTTGATCACTGTCGACCTCTCGAAGCTTGCCAATGCTGACTGATTCCTGCAATTTATTATTTAAAGCGCACGCATCAGCTAAATTAACATGATGATTGTTCTCTAAGTTTACATTGTGGCTCAGTCATGCATAATCATGTGGTGCACAGCTTTGCTGGAGAGATACAACTCCTTTCTTTTCGGGTCTAGAACATGTTTGTTTTAGTCTTGGGTAACTGAATTGGAATGATCTGATTCGCCTAGGGTGCACCGTATCTTCAGTGATTTGGTTCGTGATCAGTCCAACAAACAAGCAGAACACAAATCAACTGTAACTAATTATCCTCTCCGCATGCTGCTTCTACCTGCCTTCGTGGGTGCAAGCTCGGTGGTTTGGGCCATCTGCAGTAGCTGCGGCAAATGACCTGCGAGCAAACACGGAAGGGGAGTCGTGGGAGCTTAGAATTGGATAATTTGATGGGTTGATGATCCTGGTTCTTCTGGAGAAGGGGAACCCAAAACCTCTTTGTAGAGGAACATTGTCTTTTTTCGGGCACTATCCATATCTATCCATCATGTTGAGTCGGAGTGTCAGGTTATCCAACAACCTCCAAACCCTGACTGAGGTGAAATGGAGGTGACGGTAGATTTCAGGAAGCTCAACTGCTGTTGGGCAAACATGGATGGCCTTGATCCCTGCCAAGCAGAGTATTAGTTTTTTGTGTCTGCTCTCAAAGTAGCTCAAAGTGACCTGTCTGCTGCTTGCAGTTTGGTCTTGGGAGGGACAGTCGCCGCCTTATGAGGATTCTGCGCTGGATCCGCAGTTTTGATGTGGTGAAGGTCATGGAGTGTACAAGGGATCCAACGGAAGAGGGGAGCCGCCGAAACAATATGGATGCTGGAGTAAGGGCCAAATGTCAATGAAATGGAACTTTCACCTACCCCATCACATTCCAGAGAACCTTCCATGGCCAATTCAAAGAGCACCAAACACGCAACGATATAAAAGTTCAAACTCAATCAACCATCAGTTCAGCAGTGAAAAGCCTGTTCTTCGATGTGTCTCAGCGTGGATAATCTAAATATATCTAAACCATCATGAAACAGGTCTGTGCAGAGATGCAACAGAGTGGGTTGTAAGCAGGTGCTTAAATGTGATCCACCATGAATCATCCAAGATATCCTGCCCTTGGGTTCCAAAACGCAATTGTTTCACGAGCTTGACCACGGCAAAGCTGAATGGTCATTTCAACGCACCTGAGCCGGAAAAGCGCAGTGCCAACGCCCAGGCGATGCTCAGCGCCTGAAAGATCGCAGCAGTTGTGGCCCTGGCAGCCCAAGAACTGCTCTCCTTGCTGGGCAGCTTATCCAAACCCAAACGACACATTTGTATGATCAAATGGCACGTGGGACATATTTATCTACAATATGTCGGTCCCACGAACTGGGACAGCCGCATGTACCTACATGATCTACATGAGCCGCTGATCGCTGCTTGCTGCCCCTGGAGAAGATCTCTTCAGACCCATGGATTGCATAGGAAAGGATCAAACTACTTGGACCTGTAGAAGAACTGTGCTGAAGAGAACTGCTCAACAGCACGAATACGATCATGGACCCATATTAATTACTGTACATGGACTCATCAAGCAACAGCATAAGAACTACCTTCATTCCTGCAAGTTCGGTCATTCCTGCTAACTCCACCTCCTGAGATTCCAGCCAACGACGCCTTTCACACCCTGATAGAATCAATCCACGTTTTTGGGGCTAACTGGGTGATACCCCTTGTCATAACGACTGTGAAGGTCATCTAGGTGGTGTGCATTGAAATAGGATGACACCCCAATTGCCCCTCCGAAAGAATCCAAAAACAAACCACGCAGTCTACCAGTGTCTACCTATTGGGCCTAAGATACAACTCTTGCTGCTTAGTGTTAAAAAGTCCTTTCTGATCGATGAGATGCGGAAGAGAAGGAGCTCCGACCAGCGGCCTCGTCGGGTGCCAGGTGTTCCAAGAGCCGAGGGAGCGCCAGGCCATGCAGCTCCTTCCCAGGAGTAAAACACACCCAAAAATCGACACCCCACCCAAGAAAGCTATAGTCTATAGTTGTCTAACATATATCTGGTGTTCAGGGTGTTGATTCATCTCAAAGGCAACAGTTCTGCTCAAGGCTGCAATGACTGTGGGAGCTCTTCCAAATATATACATGGCTTACTTGAACAAACTCAAGCAGTTGGTGTCCCCGTTGCCTAGCCAAACATGTTCGGAACAATATCGAGTGCGGTTTCCCCTTTGTCTAGTCTACAGTTGTCTGGAGTCGATGACTATGGCCGACTCTGAACCTGGCGCGTGACGATGAGGGACTGACGATGGTTGCGGTGACGTTCAATTGTTCTACCTCTTGAATCCCTGTGATTTATGTCGATAAACTCCTGTCCACCCGTGGACTGATGTTTGGATGACTGGGTGGCTTCCTTCGACTGGCGCACCGACATCGCAATCAGTGCTCCTCGAGGAGAGTCACGGGGCACATCTCATGTGTCGCCAAAGCTAAGAAAATGTCGGCCACGTCAACATTCCCCCTACAGGTCCAAAGACTGACCTCATGAAATAGATGAAGTCATCTCTAATAGGTCTCAGAAACCCGGTCGCTGGCAGGTTTCTTAACTGGGTCGGTAGGTCTTGTAGGGTGCTACTGTTCATCCTTCAGCGCACAGCGACTGGTCCACCGGTCCCGTGTGGCGACGGCACAGCGCCCAGGCCGTGTGGCGCCAGAGGTGGCACCAGCGGGGACGGCATCGGCGACAAGCATGGCCCAAGCAGTTGGCTGGATTTGATTCGTCGAGATCATGAAGTTTGCAATATATTTGATGGTTGAGGGTATCTTAAATGTGAAGAATCCACAAAGAATAAAACCTTATATGATCAGCAGGTGAATCGTATCGCTCAGTATAGACTATTGGGTGATGTTCTCTTCTTTTTCTGGGATATGCCGAGCGTGTTCGGTTTCTGAGCGTTTTCATCGTTGCACCGAAGGTTTGAGTTGGTTCACTTTTGTTCACCATATCAGCCAGCTGGCGTTGATGGCTTGGAATGATTGGAGGGTGGTTCGATGCTCCAAAGCCAGTTGATGGCGTTGATGGCTTTGATGGGAGGGTGAGTTTGATGATTTGATGTGCTTAGCTGCCGACTTTCGCCCCACCTCCTATGAAGGGTGTCATAGAGACACCCGAATCGAGCCCACTAACACAAACGGTCGAGCCGTGCCAAAAACGGGGCACCGGTGAGCCGTGGAAATTCGATCCCACCCGTCCGGACACCAGCGCGATTGAAAGGAAGCGAGACATCATGGACACCCCGAAGACCTGAATCAGGGTATTAATCATGTATATAGACTCTTGATTAAATAGCCCCCCCATATGAAGAGGTAATGAAGAGGTGTTAGCTATTTACTGGTAAACCTTACAAAGAAAGGGTCAATAACATCAAAGGGTGTAGCTACTGGGCTTCGGCCACTTCTATAGGCTGATGTGCTTGATGTCTGGCCAGCCACCTTGCTCCGTGGGACTTGTGGCAACAAGTTAACACATCCTATGGACATAGTTTCTGAATCAATCCTTCGCCTTACCATGGCATAGTGGACTCCAAGCTTGGGAATACTTGGAGTGCTCCATGAACCCCTACATGTGAGTGTGAACTTGTGCGGCAAAAACATGGTTTCTGGGGTGTCTCACCAAATTCCCAGTAGAGCCCCAGGCTGATAGGGGACATTGATGACTCAATTTATTTGGCTTCTGGGCCTAAAACCGTAACACACACACACACACACACCTGGGAGTTGACTCCGCATACTCCTCGCAAGCAACTTTTTGCCCAGGAGGCTGCTGCTGAGTTCATCACGCTCCTGTGGCAATGTTGGAAAGAGCCAGGATGAATGATGCTTATACCATCGTGCTAAGCAGGGTCGTACCTCCATTCTTTAAAGCATCTGCCAAAGATCTTACGTATTCACACACATATCACATATCTCTACATCTCTACCCTGCAAGTCTTAGTGGCACCACGTGTGCGTATCCCAACTAGACCTTCACCAAAGGGGTCTTTGCAGCCAGCTCTCAAAAGAACCAAATCTTTCGCCTGCATCGTCTCTGTTTTGTGGATCTGAACTCCGACCCTCGCGATAAATACTGCTGGTCTAATGATCGGTGGATCGATTTGTCTCAAGGGTTCAGAGTACTATGGCGCTTGGGTCGTGGTCCCAGCTGGTGGAAATCAAGCCTTGCACCAGCGCAAACATAGTTATGAGCGTCAATCCAATCGACCTATAATACACCCTGAAACCATCTTGGTTCTTTACGTGGATAGCATGGCCCCTGCCAAAACCGGTGGTTTTCACTCACTCCACCAAAGCCTGTGACGACAGGCGGGAGGGTAGATCCAACTTGTGAACTTGACGCCCCAAACAGGTTCATATTGGTGGTCTTGCTGTTCTGTTGTGTAGAAGTGCTGCGTAACAAGGTGCCACAGCACATAAAACATCATATTAAATATCCAATGCTCCAAACATATTAGCTTTGGACCCTGTGTATCTGCTCGATTTCCTTTGACTTGACCACCTCGTCTGGGTGAAATCCGTGGGCCGTTGTGCCTTCCCTCCGTGGTGCCGCGCAGCGCCCTCCCCAGCGCCGCGGCGCCTCCGGGCTCATGTGCTCCCAGCGCCGCAGCGGCAACCAGTGGACTTCCCTGCGGTCGGGCGTCCGCGAGGCGTGACGTGAGTGGCGTGACGCGAGGCGTGGCGTGGCAGTGTGGTTGGGGGAGTTCGGAGGTTGTTTGGAATTCGGTTGAGAGCCTGGTCCAGCGTGGACGTAATCTAAGAGGACCTTCCAACCTGAGCCTTGGTTGAAGTGTCAGAAATCGTGGGTGTACTGACTGAGAGTGCCGGAAGAAAAAACTAGAGACATGACGACGACCCTGTCATGGGCGTCCCCAGACATTTGACACACATGTCTGGATGGAGTTGACATGTCAAAGTTCGATTGCCAGGTGGGATCAGGTGGGGGTGGCTCCGACATTTGTAGCTGAACAATTGAGTGCTGACGACGGTGCTGGCGGACCCAGATCGAGGTTAGAAGCAAACCCAGCGAAATGAAGCACTGAAAACAAGGACCATCCTCTATATATGCAGCATGACACTGGGCTACTCACTGGGAACTATTTAATACACCTTGCCACTTGCAAAATGCTACTCAAATACCTTGCAGGTGTCAGATCCTGTAACATCCAGAGGTTCGTGCAAATCATTGGAAATCTGCAGATCTGAGATTACTCTGAGCAACTCCAAACAACATACAGATGCAAGTCATGCCATACAAGCCCTGAGGTCATGTTCCAGCAAAGGGGGGCTAAGCACCCCGGGCCAACTATTGCAGTGCCATACAAAACCACTATCTGGAACAAATCAAAACCTAAAAATCCATGCCATGAAGCTTTTATGTAAGTGACTGACCATTGTGACCATTGTGACCATTGCAAAACCACTCCAGCTCCAACCAGTTGCTCCGGACTCCTTTTCCGAGGTCCCAGACCATCCCAAGTGTCGCAAATGTCGGCACTTCAAGGTGATCCAGGGGCTCCAGGGAGCCTCCCGACCGGAGGCGACCGACAGCGTCCGTCAGGTCGGACCTTTTTTCTTGTCGATCTTCCAATTCGCCGGCACACCATGCTTCAAAGCTGCAGCTGGGTATCTCCAAACGATTGGAACAGTTCGGATGCGTTCGTATGCTGTAGATCCACCGGTCGATACACCATGCACGTCGCCACACACCGCGTCGCGGAGATCGCCTCGGCGGTGGCACGGGTCACCGAGTCCAAGACCAAGGCCCTCTGTCCCTGGGACGGTGGGCGGTCCGCTTGGCCGAATGGGATGGGATGGATGACCAATGGATGGGTTCCTGTCCTCTCAGAATCCGTAGAAGATTTCGTTGTTCTGATCACACAATCAAGAAGAGATAAATAACTAGAGCCTGGCAGAGGTTCAACTTGCTCTTGCATCGAGAACAGTTTGTTGAACAAGCCCGGCTACCGAACGGTGGGCTCCGTAGGCCATCTGCAGGAGTTGAGTCGATATACGGCAGCTACATCCCGAGTGTGTCTCGCATATCACTGTCCATCCCAGTTCCAGCCTGTCAAAAAGCTCTAATCTCCTGCCCTCAAGACATCGACCTTTTTTCTGCCTCGAGCGGGTGGTGGTTCTGCCTCCAATTCGGGGTGGTTTAGTGAGCCCTCTAACTCACACTGGCTTGACCACAAAACCAGGAACCAGTTGCCGCCAACTGATTGCATCACAAAAACAAACCAAGCACCTAAGGTGTATCGTCAAAAACATGTTGAAACATATTATCTAGATCATATCGGGCTCTGTCTGCCCCAAATTCCCTCAAAAAGAACCGTCCACATCTTCTATAGACCTCCATCCATCTCCATGCCCCGAAGGAGTGCAGCACCTCGATCGCCAGATCCAGATGATAGAACTCCTCTCACGGCTCGGTGCCGCCGATCGGAACTGGGTGGTTTTTGCTCCAGTTCCAAGTCGGGGTGCCCAATCCACATCACATCTGCCCCTGGGATGAACCAAACCATGGAACTCCTGGCTTTTTGTGGTAAATATGATATTGGCATCATGTTGGAAGGCCACAGACTCAGGTTGGAAGGCCACAGAGAGATGCTTTTTTCTGAAAGTTGGAAGGATTTCTTAAGGGTCTTGCCTGATAGCCACTTGATTTGGAATAAATGAATAGAAATCAAAATTGGACGAACATGAGGCAAGCGGTTGAAGCGCTGCAAAACGCTGTTGATTTTAGAATATTTTAAGAACTATTGGGTGTGTATCATAGTCTTGCAATGTCTTCCAGATTGCCTTGGTTCCTGTTTGGGACTTCACCCAAACACCTCTCCCCATCCCCCTGCACCTCAAGCACCTCATCCAGGCTGAAACGGACACCCGCCTCACTGTTCAGGATAAGGTGGGAGGTTGCACAGTTCGGGTTGATGTTTCACATTGTCTTCTGGTTTATTGATGTAATGCCGTTTGTCGATTAAGACCATGTGAAAACAATTCAAGGTCAAAGAAAATTTGCCGGTATACGGAGAATGTTGTTCGTGTTCAAACAAGAGTGGCTGGTGCTAAGGGTTACTTGGGGAGTGGCTCATGCATCACAAATGTTCATGCAAAAATGTTCCCCAATCGCCAATATTAACTTAATAACATCGCACTGGTGTGAAAGAACAAAAAAAATCACTCACCGCTGAAACATCCCCTGTTGGTTTAACATCTCACGGCAGCCCAGCTGACACGACACACACCCAGTTCAGATCTGGATAGAACATGCAAATCCAAATTATTCAAACAAATATCCTGAACATAATCATATATGCCAACTGGTGGGGTCAAATAGTTGCATGCAAGCCTCCTGCGGTGTCACTCTTACACTCCATTCTCTCAGCGCCGACCGATTCTTATAGAGGCACGGATCGCCAGCCCGACTGAAATCAGGACTTCGGACAGCGATATTAACTGGTTTTTGGGTTTAACCTCGACCCTTAATGTTGGATCTTAATTCGTATAACATTAGTATAACCGCCCCCTCCCCCCCAACAAACAATCGAGGATGTCTCAACAGCTCAGTGAGTTCAGTAGCACCGCCACAAAAACACTTCTAGTAGCAGCAGTAGTAGTAGTAGTAGTAGTAGCAGTAGTAGTAGTAGTAGAGTAGTAGCAGTAGCAGTAGCAGCAGTAGCAGTAGCCGTAGTAGTAGCAGCAGCAGTAGGTAGTCATTCTGGTTAAACAAGATCTTAAAGGGCAACAATAGCAGAAGAATAAGCGCATCATTTTTTTTAACACATTGGGTGATTTTTTTACTATTCCCTCCCAATAAACTATTCAGGGTGTGGGAACAATTTGACGAACACTTGTGACTATTCTCTCACATTTGATGAATTTGGATCTAACATTAGTGCCCTCATCGTAAACATATGTAAAAACAAATGGACTTTGGGTGGAAGAGTGTACACCATTTTTGGGGATCCCGTCAGGTTTTTCGACCGCTGGACCTGCGTAACGACCGCTGCTGATCCACATAGATGTTATATGACCCGGCAAAAAAGCTTTTCAAACCATGCCATCCTGCATTCTCATGATCTACCTTTCATGGGGCCATGGCTAAGTAGTGCTAAAAATGTATTTCTTCAATGCATCATTGACCGTGATTGACCTGGTATCACTGTATCACCCCGACTGAAAAGAACAATTATTCTTCTGTGAGCGACCCCACCGTGACATTTCAACCATTTGTTTTCATGCCATGGTGACGAGCATGTTGCCAACGTTGTGGGCTTTGTGGTTTTCGATTTTGCTTGAGGGTCCTCGGGCTTTGGTTTTAGATCTTTTAAAGTTAAGAAGTTCACGTCGGGTGTCGCCAGGGTCTCCAGTTGGCATCCAAAAGTGCTACCATGTGACCCAGGTAATTGTATAGTTGTGGCTGTGTTTTTTGTGGTTGTGTGCTGTTGTGATTGTGGTTGTGGTTGTGTTTGCTTGTGTGATGGTGTGTTTGTGGTGGTGTGTTGTGGTGGTGTGCTTGTGGTTGTGTGTTTGTGGTTGTGTGCTTGTGTTTCAGTGTGTGTTTGTGTTTGTGTTTGTGTGTGGCTGTCTGTTTGATTGTGCGTTTCTGGTTGTGTTTGTAGTTGTGTGCTTGGCTGTGTTTGTGGTTTTGGTTTGTGATTGTGTTTGTGGTTGTGTTTGTTAATTTTAATGTGTTTTGGTGATTGTGTGTTTGTGACGGGGTTGTTTGTGTTTGTGGTTGTGAGTTCTGTGGTTGTGCTTGTGGCTGCGTGTCTGTGTTTGTAATTGTGTGTTTGTGGCGGTGTGTTTGTGAGTGTTTGCTTGTGGCTGTGTTTGTGGTTGTGTGCTTGTGCTTGTGTGTTTATGGCTGTGTGTTTGTGATGTTGTGTTTGTAGTTGTGTGTTTGCGATTGTGTTTTTGTGGTTTTGTTTGTCTGTGGTTGTGTGCTTGTGATTGTCGGCTTGTGACTGTGTGTTTGTGATTCTTGTGCTTGTGGCTGTGTGTTGTGGTTGTGATTTGTTATTGCTTTGTCTGGCGCTTGCGGTTGAGGTCCGGTAGTGCCCATTGCGGTCTGCCGAGACTGCCCACTGTGAGCTGGAGCTTGCTGTTAAGGTCAGGGCGGAGAAGGAGGAAAAGGCTATCAGTAAGAATCTAACAACCCTCACCTGACAGGCGGGGGACAAACAATCATGATTTTCCAAACAGATGCCTTCAGAGTGGACTTCGTTTTCGGCTTTCCGAGTGCACAACACGATGCAGCGATGCAACAAACGTCAGCGCGTCAGCGCGTCGTCGCAGTGTCAGCGGACCTCCTCCAACGGTGGGCAAAGCTCTCCCAGCGCTTCCTGTGCGAAGCGACTTGAACATTCACCTGTGAGGTGTGGAGAAGAACCTGCAAACATTGTATTTTTGGTTTGGTAAACGATGGGTTAAAGCAGTTGCGCTTGTGACAGGGGTTCACTCTATATACAATCTTTCTGGCCATGTGGGCCATGTTTTTCAAGGCAAACTTTGCTGTCTTGACTCAGGGCCAGACTTTAGAGTTGGCCGCCACCTCTTTGCAAGCGAGTGCAGTGGTAGCTTTTCAAGGCTGAGTCCACGTTGCGCGATGGCGGCCAAGCCGAAGCCATCGCCACACCAACGGCGAAGCACATAAACAAACAAATTAACAAACCTACAAGCCGAGTTTGAATCATTGCGCATATGAAGGTCACTGAGTTGGGAATGGTAAGACCTCCCAACGAGCTGCAGGATTCAAAGGCTCTAATCCCCAATCTCCATCTCTGAGTCCGGGATGGTCAGACTTGCCAACGAGCTGCAACCTGCAAAGGCTTCATGCGCAATCTGTGTCACCGAGTCTGGGATGGTCACACTTGCCAACGATCTGCAATCTGCAAAGGTCCTACATCCAATCTCGGTCACAGAGTACGGAATGGTGCCACTTGCCAACGAGCTGCAGGATTCAAAGGCTCTAATATCCCCAATCTGGGTCACTGAGTTGGGGATTGTCACGCTTGCCATTGAGGTGCATCCTGCAAAGGCTAAATCCCCGATCCGGGTCACTGGGTCGGGGTTAGTCACACTTGCCAAATTTTTGTAGTTTTGGAATGCCCATGGGTATATTTATTTCAGTTGCACCGCTTGGGATGTAAACTACCAACAAAGACTCTAAGTCAATGTCATTGCAAAACCGGCAAATCTCCCCGTAGTGGGAGCATGAAAGGCCTGTGGTTTGTTTCCAAAACAACGGTCACGTCTGATTCTGGAGAAAGGCCGTCCCGTGTATCTGCAGCTGTCTCATCATTCTTCAGCACTCTACTGGGCCACATCATTAATGTCCACCCGGGTTGTCGTTCTTCGTCTGACGATCTGTTCGTTCTTCGTCCTGGGACGAAGATTGATCTCCTTCGTTCCCAACCGGTTGATGTCGGGGATGACATCAAGCGAACCATCGCCGACTGGCCATGACTGGGCTGCCGACTGCCATGACATCCGATTCTGGCCATGGCTTGGCCTCTAATCACGACCGATGTCGACCTCGATCCGAACCACCTCACCGGATCGGACAGACCGACCGGTGGTGGGAACTTCCTTCCCTCCATGGAGCGACCGCGGTGTTCCTACCGATGACCTGCACAGCGTGAACCGCCCGGCTGTTCCAGTCCGTCAGCAGTCCTAAGGTCTTCTGGACTCATCTGTGCTCATCAAGCATGTCGGATCCATGACGGCTGTCGGACCCATGACGGCTGCCGCCGTTTTGTCTTCTTTGGTTTGTTTGGACGCTATTGGTTCTGGACGTCAACGTCCTTGATGTTAAAACGACGAAGAAAGTGCACCGGAGTTGAATGGTGAGATGAGATGTTTTGAGCCTGTTTTTGCGCACTCAGTGATGGTTTGAGAAGGGGTTTGGGGTGGGTGCCAGGAGGGTCCAGTCATACCTTCGAGCCCTACAGGGGGGTACATTGGATGTGTCAGGGCTTAGCATCAGCGCCTAAACCTCGTCAAACGCTGTCCTCGGCGACCTGGCCCTGGTGCTTCTCCTCTTGAAGCCACCTGAGTATCGGTATGGATTCCAACCCTTTTGAGATGCAGGTGGGTCAACACACAATGAGTTCTCCCTCTGTGAGAAGAACTTCCATTTACATTTCCCTGTTTTTGGGCCATGCTGTTAGCTGATCTCATTCCACAGCTGCTATCGCTAGACTTCAAGAAGGGGTGCTGCAGAAGCGCTGGGTAAATGGACACATTTTGCCAGGATGTTAGCAACTGGATAAAGCTCTGTCATGCAAGAAAGAACATGGCTTTCCATTGTCTGACCTTGACACACAGGAGCCACCATGTTCACGGGGAATGCAATGGAATCTGGAAGAAAAGTAAGCAGAGCTAGCCTTACAGTAGGTCAGCCCACATTAGCATCTCTTCCACTAACGACATCGTCTTGAAGACACCTCTGACCAGGAGCGATACCCACGGTTGCAAACATTATCCCTGGCTGCACTTGTCACAAAACTAACCCCAAAACCTCCGTGTAACGCTGCCAAATCTCGCCGAGGCACGGCTTCGGGCGGTCCAACGCTTTGGCTGAGACGTCTTGCCTCAGAATGGAGGCTATAGGGGACCACAGGCGAACACCGGAGAGGACGCCTCCTAGTTGTTGAGTGCTAGTTTTTGTTGGGGAGGCTCAAATCTGTCTGAAGGGATACTGTACAATACTGTACATACATCTTAACGACCCCTACATGAACCCCACCTGACCCCCCCTGCCCATCATCCAGAACCTTCCAATAGGACAAAACGTGCCATGCCCACATTCCGTTCAGAACCCCAAAACCCAGGAAAACCATCCGTCCAAATGGCTACAAGATGCTACAAGTACCCCACGGTCACCGAACCCGTCACATCTGTCACCCTCACCGGTCCGGCCGAAGGGTTCGAGCCCCGAGCGGAGAAAAGAAAAAGGGACGGAAACCGAAGAGCTGGAAGAACCCAGCAGCTGGGGAAGAACTCAGCAAGTTCGAAAGTGAACTCATGGTATCATGGTGTATTCAAGTCAATTTTGTTTGTTGTCACCTGTCGTGTTGCTGAGAGGTCGTGCAAACTTCCCGTCTAGAGCATCTGTTTGGTACTGTCAAACTGTGCCAGGTAAACACAGCTATTGCTTCGGTACGTGGATGTGCCCGCAAGGACCATCCTCATCTTGCATCATGCTAATCGGCTAATCCCTCTTGAAGATCTCCTCATGAACGAACCCCACAAAATCACGGCCTTCAGTCAAGCAAATGAATACAGTCATATGATTGACAGGACATGATTTATGAAAAAGAAAACAATCACCACTGGGAATAGAACACATGGTCACGTATGTGACAAGTATGTGTTTAATGATAATGGAGAGGAGTGGACATTGAGGTCGGGTAATAAAGGTAACAGACAATAAATAAGAAACAGTTGGATACAAGAAGTGAAGAGGAATCCAAAGCAAGTCCAAGCAAGTCCCATGAGTTTGATCTGCTGAGTATCACCGGGACCTGTATCACCTAACCCCTGCTGACCAGTCAAATTCATTCAATGGCCAGCTGCTGCCGTTCAGCGTATCCCATCCTCCCATCCCATCCGTCAGGCATGGGACTCCAAAGATAAAATGATCTGCTGCACTTGTGTGGCCTGCACAGGCAAGAACTCCATTGAGTTCCAAGACAGTACCGCAGGCGGTTCTAAGTTGTAACTGATCCCCTTCCAGTTGGAGTTCCAGGACATGGCAACAAGGTTGCCTCCGCAGGCGTGAGCTCAGCGCTTTGGGCGATCTGCAGCAGCTGCGGTAAAAGACCTGTCTGGGAGTGAAATAGATCCATGGGGAAACAACCGATCCATTTGGGAACGGTACATCCCCTTCCCTGGGCCCAGTGGGATCATGGTTCAGTTGCAGGTTTTTCTCTAGTGACTCTAAGTGATACTTGTTGACTGTTACTTGTTTACCTGGAACACCCCTCAAGCCTCAAGCAATGAGAAAGGCGGAAAACCAACCCTCCGAGAGAAGCCCTTCCAGCAACGGGAGATGTCTCAAGCCTGTGAGGTCAGCCGCTGTCAGTCAACACTCCAATTCCAAGCGAGTCCAACTGAGAATGATCACCAAGGTTTCAAGAGGGATCAACAAAAACGACATCAACCGTTTTTCATGAAAAATCAACAAAATCATCCACCAAAAAAGCGCTCACAATCAGAAAACCGCACAGATTTTTTCGCACCTGAGCCGGAGAAGCGCAGCGCCGCCAACGCCCAGGCAATGCTCAGTGCCTCAGAGGCCGCGTGCGGTCGTGCTTCGAGTTCCGTGTGTTGAGCAGCGTGCGCTGACTCCAGAAAAGGTCCATGTTTAGAATTAGAGAGAAAGACATAGAAAGACTATAGAACCTTACCAGAGAGTCCACACACAGAATTCTGAGAGCTCAACTTAGAGTCGAATACGGTTTCCAAAAGCACCGGCATTCTGAGATCGATTGCTTTGTCTTCTCCCAAATCTGAGTGACCCTCTTTTTTTTTGCACTATCCACCTCCACCACTCAACAGACATGTCCTTTTCCTACCATCAGAATACTCCGAATCCACCGGCCGCCTCATCAGGTGCCAGCTTCTCCACGAGCCGCGGCAGCGCCAGGCCATGCAACTCCTAGCATTCGATCCAATGCGCTTGGGCTTCAACGTCCGCGCAACAAACATGTGCCGCATCGGAAAACACACAAAACCATGAAACAATACATCAAACACGTAGTTAGAACACTTCTAGCAACAAAGACCACACCAGGAATTTCTGAGGTCTTGGAAGTTCTTGGAGGGTTTCCCTCCCATTTTTCGCTCGTTGGATGCGTTTCAATATCCTGCATCACTTGACACTTCTAAGCAGGTGTTCTTTAGCAGGTTGATTCAGCTGAGTAAAACGCCGTCAGGCCCGATTAGCTGTGCGAGCTTTTCCGACCACATGGTTGACTTAGCAAAACTCAAGCACTGGGTTTACTGTCAAATATCAAATAACATGAAACACTCATGAAACGGTGTCCAACCATGTTTGACTGATTTTGACTGCAGTTTTGCACCCGTGGTCTTCTCTTGCTGCCACATATGGTTGTGATGGCTTCTACTGGCCCTTTCCAATGGTGGTTACAGTAGCTTTCACTTGTGCTAGGATTGATCACGTTGATATACGTTGATCATCTGATCATCTGTTTTCCACTGGTTTTAAGGCTGTTGACGTTTCCACTCCTCCAGGAGGGTCACAGGGCACATCTGATGCGTCGCCAAGGCTAAGAAAATGTCCGCCTGTGGCCGACCACGACCGGTCGCCCCACAGCAACCCTCCAGTCGACAGGCAATGGGACCAAAGCAAGGTGGGGACCCAAAGTTGCGCCGT